ACCGTATCTTTAGCGTAATCCTATAGCAAGATGTACCGTGCGGAACACATACGTCTTAGCAATTTGTACATCAAATAACCCCGACGGAAAGCTCTGCGAATTTCCAAGGCTTTAGCAATTTAAAAAAATTAAGGTGTGTAGACTGATCTCTATTTAACCTGAGTTCTTGTTTTAACCAATTAAAATCAAACCAAAAATCAGGCACAGGGAGAGTTGTTCTTTCAAATGACATGAAAAGTAACAAACTTGCATTCATGTTTGAGATTTCAAGAAGTACGACTTAATCATCTGGCAGCTTCATTCATGTGTCAGATGTCTGGAAGTGTGGCCAAAGGTCTCCCAGAGCCTTCCAGGACCTCTTTGTTGTTTTTTGAAAAGATTCCTAGGCAAATTCAAGGAAGGGCACATGTTCCAACTTCTCTGCTTCAGATTTTTCATGACAGCTGCAGTTCCTCCTCAGAAGTGCCTATTCTGATTTTGATTTTACGAGAGTCACTGTTCGCGAAGGATCTTTTTATAAAAAGCGAAAAATCACAATAGCAGAAATTCCATTCATAAAATAGTTTTGGAGAGGGTGGTTGAAAGAATAAACCATAAATTTTGGTTTCCTGTGGCACTTAAAAGTTAGGTTCTACAGGGGGGAGAGTGACGGCTAAATTAGGGAGAGTAATTTTAAAATGTGTACAAAATAATGATTTTACTTGAGAATGTTGGAGGAATATGCTTAGATGTGATACCCCTGGTTTCACTTTGCCTTTAAGTCTATTTTTTACAAATATACCCTCACTTTAGACTGATCAATCCATTTTATAAATTTTGGGCAGTACTCCTTGTCCTGTAGAAGACGTAGCAAAAATTCCCACAAATAAGTGACTTGTCCCGAAACTGAAAACATAATTTTGGCTTTAAATTAAGTTCAAAACTCTTAAAACATACCCTCTTTGCTCCTTCTACGCTGTGCAAGCAGATGTGATGGTGGAGGTACGGGTTCACTATATCTACGCGATTCCAGCATATACGGTACGGAGAAGAATGCAGATTTAGATGTGACTGTTGATGGAAGATTCTCTTTTCGGAACATATTACATGGGGTGGTTGCCGTAGCTCCTACGAGAGGTTGTGGAGGCAAACCGCATACTAAAGTACTCTAATACAAGAATTTTAATTCTGAAATTTTAAAGGAATTCTACAGGTCCATTAAAAATCAGTGTTAATACTCAAGCTTCCAACATAGAGCAATTTTCACTAAACATGTAACATGGTCATTCATAAAAAGCCTTCATGCGCACACGCTTCATTCCTGCTGTTTATCTTATTGACGCAGGTTTCTCTTATTATGTTTAGTTGCTGTGATCTTTGAA